AAATATTGACAATGTAAAAGATCAGTAGTATTGTATAATAACAAAGTAAATTATAATAATAAAAATATAATAAAAACATTAACAAAGGTACTTAAAATCATGACAATTTCAGAAATCTCCATGCAGATTTTACTGTTGTCAACCTATAAACTTCACTTCTTGTTCATCTCTGCAATCAAACTTGATGGACTTGATGGAAAGAACTTTCAGTATATAAAGCACCCAAAGAATGTTTATGCAAAGTTTCATGCATATTTGTTTGTGGAATTTTTATGTCACATTAATGAGTATTTTAAAGTACTTTTTCAATTAATTTTGTTGGTTGCACAATATAAATATGATCGTCACTTTATGTCGCATTTAGTGATAAAATCGAAATTCCACTATTACTATGCTCCTTTCCTTACAATACTCTTTTTCATTTTCAGAAAGCTCCTTGATTTTCTTGACTAATGAAAAATAATCGTCTTTTATACTTTCTTTATCAGAATTAGCATTAGAATTATTACGCATTTCATTATCAATTTTAAATACAAAAGCCTGTCTTTCTCTTGATAACGATAATAACAATTTATTATGTGACATTATGTAAAAATATAAAATATAAAATTCAAGAATAACGGTTACATTATTTCCCTTTTATTTGCAGAGAATTGAATGATGTGCAACAAATAATTTTTCGTACATTTTTTTTTCCCAACAGATTAATTAATTATTAATATTAATTGATAAATTGAAAAACGAAAATTGCTTTAAAGATTATCATAACCAAACTCTAGTGATCGATTCATCGTGATTCAACGATAAAATAAATTCTTAAAAGTGATAAAAATAGAAAACAAAATTAAGACTTACAAAAATATGCACCAAAACCTGTCTTATTGTGCTATGTAGAGGTCTTTCTAAGTATATACCAATATTGAACAACTTATGTTATTTCAAACTCGCACACTAAGACAGTTCAAACACATTATTAATATTAATATTATTGCGTATCACTATTACGCGTAGTTAACCTCAAAGTGAAAAATTCGAAAAAAATCAATTCGACATAACTCGTATGTATGTAAAAAACAATTTGATTTTTTACATTTTATGGAATTTAATAATAAAAGAATGGTTTTAATTTGTAAAAAAGAAGAGGAATTTTTAATTTGAAAGAAAAATATACAGAAAAGATAAGTAATTTAATTAATTAAAATGTCTAATTCAATTATAAAATTTGTAAACTTCCCAGATAATTATTCTTCTTGCATCATTGCAATATACACACAATGACATAATAATTCTTTATTCGTCCCCGGGACACATAATTTGGAACTTTTGATAATTCTGTTTTATCATTACCATTATTGCTGTTTGTATCAAGTGTTTTTACTTACTTCAAATGTTTTAATTACGTCAAGAGCTTTTACTTTAGTCAAGCGGTCAAAATGGCCTTGGTGAGGAACTACCTTTAGTCAATACTTTAGTTACGTCAATTACTAAAGTCAAAAGTTTAGTAATACATCATTAACTTGTACCTAAAAATCTTCGACGAATCTGTAATCACGTTTAATGGTGCCATATAATTGTAAATAAACAAAGTTTACTCTTTTATAAAGCTCGATGGCTTCTATAAAATCCTTTTCATTCGCCTGTTATTTTATTATTATACACTTAATAGATGCTAAATGATTACAATCAAACATACACACAATGACATAATAATTCTTTATTCGTCCCCGGGACACATAATTTGGAACTTTTGATAATTCTGTTTTATCATTACCATTATTGCTGTTTGTATCAAGTGTTTTTACTTACTTCAAATGTTTTAATTACGTCAAGAGCTTTTACTTTAGTCAAGCGGTCAAAATGGCCTTGGTGAGGAACTACCTTTAGTCAATACTTTAGTTACGTCAATTACTAAAGTCAAAAGTTTAGTAATACATCATTAACTTGTACCTAAAAATCTTCGACGAATCTGTAATCACGTTTAATGGTGCCATATAATTGTAAATAAACAAAGTTTACTCTTTTATAAAGCTCGATGGCTTCTATAAAATCCTTTTCATTCGCCTGTTATTAAGACTGTGATCTCCCGCCCTGAATAGACATCACGGTACTATTGACCCAAGGCATCTTTTATTTAAAATAAAATGATATTTATAATTATTATCATTATCATTATTATTGCTAATGCTGATATTATTTACTCTCCTACTTTTTAGCAAAGTCAAAGTTATGGAATGTACATTATTATTATTGATCACGTTGTACCAGATACCAGATCCAAGGATTTATGCTGTGTGACAATCTGTTTGTTAACCACAATCGGTTATTGGAATCTATGAATATCAAAAAAAAATAAAAATAAAATTTTGTTGAGGTCAATTGATTTTATATCGCGTAACTTTACAGAAATCGGTGAATATGGTTTCATAAATGTGATTATTTGTCATTACTTAAAAATAAAAAAAAATTACTATTACGATTTAATTGAAATCACAAATAAAGTTGATCGTGAATACTTGCACGTTCTTTCGATGTTGTGGAAGAATGAAATAAAATCTTCTTGAAAGACAAAAATTTTACAAGAATATAAATACATGTAGAAAAAATTGCAGTAAATTCAAAAACTCCACCAAATTCTTTTAAAAAAATGAATTATCATTCTCCAGCACCATTATTATTATTATTATTATTATTATTATTATCGTTATCATTAAAAGCTCTTTTTAATATTACAAGTGTTTCTTCCTTGCCAGCACCCACCATTAAATATCAAGCTGGTAATAATATGTTTGTAATTAATCTTGATTGTCAAAGTGCCAAAGTAGGTTTTTGTGATAAAGTTAAAACAAATTTGGAATGTGACAGGACAAATTATTGTTAATACTATAATATTAGAAAAGCCAGTTATAGTGCAAATCTCCTTTAAACCATTAACTCTGGGTTTAATAGGTAATAATAACGATAATAATGATAATAATAATAAATTTGCTTTATTTTTTAAAAACAATAATAAAATTTTCTAAATTTTCTTCTTAGGTCATACATGCAGGACCATCTATATTGATTGGATTGAAAGACGGATATGATGTGGTCCACAATCATTAGTAAAACAATTCGGATTTACGGCTCCCTCAAAATATTTACCTACCGACATAGACGCAGAATTTAACACCGATTTTGATTTTTGGTTTGAAGATGATGCAACACCAATCACACACCAACTCAAATGGATTTTACACAAGTGGCATTGCACTAATTTATACATGGCTTGGGATTTTTATCGTCATGGGGATCATATCAACCATCAAAAGTAAATACTTTTGCACTCAAAGGCAGACAATTTGTTTCGGAGAATGATTTTTTTTGCCAAGTTTAAAGCATGCACTCAATATAACGTTGCAGCTGATAATGTTAACAACTGTCACAACATCTTTATCACTTGACTTCCTTGCAAAAAGGTTTAGATTTCAAACAACTGTAAAAAACGATACTGTAAATTGTCAATCTTTTTATTTGGAAACTAGTTTACAACCATACGTCGGAACGTCAAGACTTAGTCACGTGATTAAAACCT